TAAGAATGAAGGCTTGTGCTTAGAAAGTGTGGTTTTAAAATTCTTACCATAAATATACACAAATACTTTATTCTCTACAACTGATTTTAAGTGAATAGAGGAGGAAGAAGTTTTCAAATCAGAAAACATAAAAAATACATTATATTTAGATCCAGAAAAATTCAAAAATATATTTTGATTAGCTTAAAATTTTACAACAATTTAATGCACTACTGCCGCCAATATCCTTGCCGAAGGCTGTAAAAGATAAAATTCTGCTTTACGGTGCAGTGCATACAGATTATTGAAAAAGTTTTTTCTTCCCTTATCATGGCACTTTTTGCCAGATATATGTATATATGCACACACACACTCAAACTTACACATAAATATCCAATACAAAAATGTTGAACACCTCGTTGCGAATATCTTTCTTTGCAAATGCGAGTAATTTGGTACTAGGTATTGGTGCCAATGTCGCACTTCGCCAACATACATTCGAAGAGACACAAATACATTGTCACAACAACTGTCTGCAAACAACAACAACTAGATGCACATGTGCATCACTAGATTTACTCCATATATGTGTACGTACATAAATACATGCACGTACATATATAGATAGGAAAACGATTTGCATATGTCTGAGTTTTGCAAAAAGCATTTATATAAATATTTTCTTTTTTTTTTGTACTCCTTCCCCATCTCCTTCACTTTGCCATTTTTTTTTACTTTTACCAATTTTTAGTTCAACGTTCAGTAAATATTGTATGCATTTTTAATTTATTTTAGTGTAGTTTTTACGATTTTTTTTTTTTTTTTCTATCACTTTTTTTTTGGGGGGTGATACAAAAATAGTCAAACTTTTACGTTTCCCATCTATCTACCTGCTGTAGTTGGCTTTGTTGGTAAATTCGTTTTTGTTTTGTTGAGGTTTTTTATGTGGTTTTGAGATCATTTTTTAATATTTTTAAAAGCTTTTCGAAGACTAAGATTACAGTTGTGTGTGGTTGAAGTGATTTTTTAGAGTAAATTAAAAAAAAAAATTAAGTAAAGTTTGTAAAATATTGGAAATATTGTGTAGTTATTGCTAACAATATAGAGGAGAGGAAACTAAGTTTTAAACATCAAGTAAAATGGGGGGCACCGAGATAATGGAAAATGGTGTGAAAATTAAATGAAATGAATAAACAAAATATTCATATTGTAAAGGCAAAGTAAAATATTAAAAAAAGGAAAGTAATTTATCTACCACAAGTCAATGCCCGATTTAATGAAAAAAAGGAAACATTTTTTTCAAAGCAGACATCCAATTACTGTTATTGATATCTGTGCGTATTGAAGGTAGTTCATACTCAACATGAACAATTTTCAATTTCAGCAGTAGGGTACTATTAATTATACCCTACACCACAAGGTAGTAAGGTTATTATGTCTTTGTGCATTTGTTTGTAACAGGCAAAAGGAAACGAGATAGACCCATAGTTCCTTTTCATGATCTGCATAAAATCACATTCTGAGTCGATTTATGCATGTCCGTCCGTCCGTCTGTCCGTCTGTCCACGTATTTTTGTAAACAAAGTACAGTTCGCATTTATTGCCCTATCCAGATGAAATTTTGCACAAAGCATTTGTTTGGCCCAAGGACGAACCCTATTGAAATTGGAGATAATCGGTCAAAATTTAGATATAGCTCCCATATATATCTTCGTCCGATTTTTTATTTTATTGTGCACCAAACGTGTAATATCAGTCCGAATAGTATGGAATTTTGCAGGTTGGACCTGAAAATAAGTAATAGCTCCCATATATATTGTTCATCCGATTTGTTATTTTTGTCCTCCGCAGCCGTAATATGCACTCTGTAACAGCAATATTTGGGGAAATATATCAAATGCTGCTCAGAAATACGTTTGCTTAATTTTATCGAGATCGGTTCAGATTTGGATATAACTCCCATATATAACTTCGTCCGATTTTTTATTTTATTGTGCACCAAACTTGTATTATCAGTCCGAATAGTATAGAATTTTGAACGTACGATCAGATTGGATCTGAAAATAAGTTTGCCAAATTTGATCGAAATCGGTTCAGATATAGTTATAGCTCCCATATATATTGTTCATCCGATTTATTGCATTTGTTACCCACAGCCGTAATATGCACTCCGTACAACAATGATATTCAGGGAAATATATCAAATATAGCTCAGAAATATCTTTGCCAAATTTTATCGAGATCGGTCCAGATTTGGATATAGCTCCCATATATATCTTTATCCGATTTCAAATTAATTGTGCACCAAATGGGCAATACAATTCCGAATTTAAAAGATACAAATGCTTCGGCATATTTAGTCCTTTGGACTTTAAATTATAATTATAATCATAGCGTGTGTGGTTGAATTCTCACATAAAAACTTTTAATTGTTATGCGCAGCTCTATTAAATTAGCAAAGTGGTGTAGGGTATCATAAAGTCGGCCCCGCCCGACATTAAGACTTTCTTTACTGGTTTTTAAATGAAAACATTTTAATGCACCGAGTTACAATTGCCATATATTGAGGATACAAGCAAGATTGACTGGGAAACTAACATCTTATTAGGAAGTTTGCTCCACTGATAAAATACCCTCACCTTGACACCTCCCGGACTTAATCGTCTGGTACCATATATTTTTTAATGCACAGAGGTACAGTGACCATGACAGAAAAAAAGTTATTCGTGATGGAATTCAAGCGCGTGATTTCTTTATATTTGGCTGGCTATCGTCAGAGCACTCCAGCATTTAAATGCTGGAATAAATGTTTTGTGTCACGTACCATAGCTCGTTACCGTGATACTGGTAGCTTAGACCGACGTCAAGGAAGAGGACGGAAGAAAACAGCAACATCAGCAGAAATCGTTCGAAAAGTAAACAAGCGACTTGATCGAAACCCGCGTCGCGGTGGCCGAAACATGGCTCGTGAGCTGAACATATTGCAATATTCCACTCGGCAAATATTGCAAAATGAGCCCCGCGTAAAGCCATTGAAATTCCAAGAAGCTTACACCGCAAGTGCCGACCATGGTGATGGTGTAGGCCGCCATACCTGCCGATGGTCGCTCTCAGCTCGTATTAATTGACCGTGGCATCAGAATAAATGCCGAATGTTATCGCTAAAATATTCTGGAGGGTGTGTTAAAACTTTGGGCACGCAAACATTTTGGCCGCAGACCTTGGGTATTCCAACTGGACTGAGATCCATCGCACAATATGACATTTCCTCTTCATTTCCAGCGCACAAGGGCCACCAAAATCTCCGGATACCAATCCTTTGGACTATTGTGCCTGGAGTATTTTGGAAAGCAAGGTTGGTACTAAAAATACCAAAGTGTCGATCACCTCAAGCAATCACCCGGCCACGAAACCAGATTTTAAACTTTTTCATATTTAAAACTTTCTAATCACCCTATCGCACAAAATTATTCCAATGATCCGAAATTTTTCTACTGTTTTCAGTACCTAAAATTTACGAAATTTGCAAAAAATGTTTGGTGATGTGTGTTTATAGATACATGAGATAGTAAAGAGTTGAAAAAAAAAAAACAAGTAAAAAAGCTCGGCCGGGCCGAACTTTTAATACCCTCCACCATTTGGTACAAACTTAACAATTTCCAAAAAAAAAAAAAAAAAAAATAAAAAAATAAAATCCGTTAAAAATTCTGTTAAAATCTTAAAAATACCGAATGCTTATACGACGACGTGGACCTGTATAGGCAACTTTTGTCATAAGTTATTACAATATTTACTGCGAAACTTGAAGAAAAATCTATTTATAATGTAGCTAAAATACGAAGACGTGGACCTACAAAGATTATTTTCTGTCTTAGGTTGTAGTATCCATTACGAACTTCAAATGCCAAATTTGAAACAATTCCGGTGAATAATGTCGCTAAAATCATCAACATACCGAATATCGGGAGGTACCGTTATATGAGGGCTATATGATAACTTGGACCTACATGGCCCATTTACGATCTTAACCTGCCTACTGGCAAAATATACATGTGTGCAAAATTCTCAGTTTGTTCGAATTACAACAGACAGACAGACAGACATGGCTAAATCGTCTTAGAATTTTACGCTGATCAAGAATATATATACTTTGTTGGGTCTGACATGAGTATTTCGAGGAGTTACAAACGGAATGACAAAATTAATATACCCTCCATAGTATGGTGGAGGGTATAAAAATCCCGCTTAATTGCCCATATCAGGTCAAATTTCAGGATTCCAACCCTAGCCGCTTCTTCTTTTGCAATTTTATATATCAAAAAAGTTAAAACGACTAACCACCTACAACCCAGTTAAAAACACTATGAAGTACTGAAAAACAGGTGGCAGAAACCATATATCAATTATGAAGGTTTTAATTACTTTTAGAAACAAAATTCAGAATAATTTTTCATTTGGAGCAGTACGTCACCTCTGTGCAAAACTATATAGAAATCGGCCTACATTTTGGTCGATCTTTGATACTGTAAATATTTTCACCATAGTTTTAAACGAAAATTGCTATAACTTTGTGTTGGGGCTTCTCATTAAGTAAGTCTACTCTGAGCATCAGACAACGATTTGGTATTTCCTTGTTTACAGCAGTTCCGGTGTTTTTTAATGTATTTACTATTCAAATGCTCCATATACTAATTATATTCCAGAATGTCCAAAAATATTGAAAGCCTTTTAATTTTTCCCAAAAATATACCTCAGCATATATAGTATTGTAATTACATTGAGTAAAATTTATGAATGAGTAATAACATTTCTTGTCGCCATTAATAAAGACGTTAAAACTTAAGCAAAAATTATAAATTTGTCTCTGACACAGCAATCTTTAACGTATCTTAATGTCATTGTCTCGATAAATAACATTATCTCACTTTTCTTTTAACAAAAAATATATGTATTCTCTCATTTTGGTTGAACAGCCTTAACTCCAACTTTTTCTTCTTTTTCTTTTTCATATCTTTCGCCAGGTCACCAGCTCGAATGCGACACAAGTGTTAATACGCAATGTGGGCTTCGGTTTATCGGGCAATTTTACATGTGAAGTAACTGCGGATGCACCATTATTCTCCACAGCCCAGGGAGTTGCAATAATGCAGGTTGTCGGTAAGTTGAACATAAAGTATATGGAACAGAACGTATTGACATATGGCTATGTAGATGGTTAAAAGTAAATCTCTGGGGGTGTGTGAGTGCGTTCGTATGTGTTTTTGTGCGTTCAAACTGGAGAAATTGCACGTAGGCAAACTGACACAACTGCTTGCATACATATGTATGTGTAGATAGACGAAAAAATGAAAATAAGTGAATGCGCCCGTCAGCCAGCATTTATGTATGTGTATGAAACGAAAAACCAAATTTACATGTCGTTATCCTTATGACAGCACCGAAAACAACATTAACGAAACGAAGAAAATCACATTGACAATATGAAGATAAAAACGTCATATAAGATAAAAAGAAGGGGGAAAGAGAGAAACTAAAGGTGATTGTCGTGGAAGATATAAAACAAAATAATAAATTAAGTAAAATATTCTTTTAACATATGAATTTTAAATTAACGGTTATTTATTTGACATGCCGTGTGGTAGGAAAGACAGCAGGCGAGAATGTTGGACAACATTTTCTACTAGTGAAATGAGTCGTAGCTTATGACAACTGGCTGAAAGTAGTAGATGGGGTTTAAAGACAAAAAAGCTCTTATTTTTTAATTCACATGCATATAAATCAGGAGTGATTACATAGTATATGTATGGAGATTTTTTCCAATCTGACTCATAGCAAATATCGCAAAAATTCATTATGGAAAAAAAAATTTTTAAATCAGTTTCAGAATTAATGTTTTTATTTTTTATACGAATGGACGAACAAAATAATATGTTTCTGATTGAAATCCAGGTTTTATGATTAAATAATATGATTTTAAATAAATATAGGCAGCTTGAAGCGAATCATATAATAACATTGTGCAACACAAAAAATAATTTCTGAAAAAATCCAGCACAATAAAAAGGCAGAGCGGAGTTTTGAAAATTTGCATTACAAATTTTTTTCGGATTAGGTGTCTTCGACAATATTGAAGGTTTGAGGAACATGTTGGTCGAAAATGTTATTCCTCAATCGAGTCAAAAAATTGGAATCTTTTCGGTTTTACTTATAACCTACAACTCCATGTGTTTGGGGGTATAATAAGTTTGATTGATCCAAAAATTATGTAACACCTCGAAATATTGGTCCCCGATCTTCCTATGGATGAATCTTCTCATCTCGCTGAGCTGAGTCGATCTAACTATGTATGTCCGTCCGTTCGTCCGTCTGGGCCTTGAAATTGGAGATGGATTAGGGTCAGAATAGAAGCCTACTGTTTTTGGAGATGATCGCAAAATATTTAAGGGTCGACATGGAAAGAAAAATTCCTCGATTTTGCTGTTGCTGTACAAACCACAATTATAGACCAATCGACATGGAATTTTGCATAGAGTTAGAGTTCAGGGCTGGGCAGAAGTGTTGCAATTTGGATGGTCATCGGACAATATTTAGCGGGTAAAATAAACCATAAGTTTTATGTCAAAAATACGAAAATTTCCACTAAACCGCGAATATTTTTGATCGCGGTAAATGCGCACAAATGCATTAAAAAAGTCACTTCTGACTATTGGGGTGACGCTGATAGCTAAGATGTCGGATGTATAGCGAAAAAGGTACAATCGATATGTAAAAGAAATTGATATTAGTTTTTTTTCCCTTTATAAGTCAAAAATCGCTGGACTGATTTTTATAATCATTTCGGTCTTATGGCAGAAAAGGATAAAATCTAAGAAAATCGATTAAAATATTAAAATTAATATTTTTTTTTAATTTTTTTTTCAATTTTTGTCATATTTTTTATCGCATGCTATTTTTGATTTTTTTTATTTATATGCAGGTCACAATTATCGTCCGATTCTCTTTTTGAAGATGCATAGGAGTTCAAAGGGACCAAAAAAAATATATTTTCATGACTTTCGCAGTCGATCTGCAGGCCACAATTGAAAATCAATCGACACAGAATTTTGCATGAGAAGAGAGTTAAGGACAGGGAAGAAGTCGAGCATTTTAGATGACCATTGGATTATATTTGGCTGTAAAATGGACCACAACTTTTGTTGAATTTATTTCGAATTCATAAAAACGCGCGTAAATAAGGGTAACATCGGGGTAGGGCTCTATGACTTTATTTCAAAAACGAAATCTTTCAAAGTTGAACTTACGAGGGCTTCCAACATATTGTAGTGTTGTAGGGTATCACATGGTCGGCCCCGCACGACAATATCATTTGTTTATTTGTTTTCAAATGTGGTTCAAAACTACCTACTACCTAACTACTTTTGTCGATTACAAAATTATTTTTCATAAGATTCTGCTATGAGTTCGAAAAGACATCAAAAGTCTCAATTTTACCTAAAAGCCAGGAATACATATATACAAAACATGCGTCCTACAAGGCGACTATTCGAAAAAGTGGACCGACATAACCCATCTTCTGATCCAATGATTTATAGAGGAATTTTGCGTAGAATATTTGTTCTTTTGACACTTTCTTCTTTTAAAAACAATATTTCATATTACTTTCAGGTGTCAACTTGAAAAAGTCCGAAAAAATTAATCAAAAAACAAGTAGAAAAACCACTTGGAAAGAATTTGGCAATTTCAAAAAAAAAAAAAAAAAAAAAAAAAAAAAAAAAACAAAAAAAAATGAAATCCGTTAAGAATGCTTTTAAAATCTTAGAAATACCGAATGTAGTCGTTACATTAGGGTGTATACGACGACGTGGACCTACCTCATAAAAATCATCAAAATACCGAATATAGGGAGGTACTATTGTATGGACCTATACCAAAACGTGGACCTGCACAGACAATTTTCTGGCATAGGCTGTAGTATTAGGTACAATACCCACCGAAATTGTTTGAGAAGTCGTATTTGGAGTTCGTAATAGATGCTACAGCCTATGACAGAAAATTGCCTATACTGGTCCAGGTCTTCGCACAGCTCCGATATAACGGTACCTCTCTATATACGATATTTTGATGATTTTAGCTGCATTATTCACCGTTTATTTCAAGTTTCGAATTTTAAAATGGTAATGACTATGTAGGTCCACGTCGTATAGACACCAACATAACGGCTCTATTCGGTATTTTTAAAATTTTAACAGATTTTTTTAAGGATTTTATTTCCAAATTCGTTCCAAATGGTGGAGGGTATTCAAAGTTCGGTTCGAACTTACTACTTTTTAACTTGTTTAAGTCAATTTTAGCCTATCTCTCGTCCATAAAGCCGACTTATCGCTCATCCATACAATTAACGAAAACTTGCAATGAATGAAATACACTTAAAAACCAAATATCATTTAATTCGAAGTCGCCAAGCTGACAGTGAAATTTGCAACGCAACCTTTCCCCATTTGTAACGCAACCTTTCCCCACCACTATTAATTCTTATCAATGTCAGAGAAATTCTTATTTATTTGCTTATCAAACATAATCATCTAATATTTGAAGTTCAATCGTTACATTCATAAACTTCAATTTAGGGCCGTAGGCAAATTATATTTTACAACAATTGAACATTTCCTAGAAATCTACCCAAAGTTATATTGCAAATTTCATTATATCGTTTCATTGAAATTTAATCATGATTTTCAAATAAGGAAATATTTTAACCCATTTAATATACATTTGCAAAATTTTCACCCAATTGCCATGGCAATCATTACGATTGTGTAATATATTTCTACACAGAATAACTTTTCAGCCTGGCAAGAAATTACAAAGATTCAATCTAAAAAGGCAATTAAAAGGGTTTGAAATTCTTACGAATATAAATACAAACTTTAATTATTGTTTACATAAGAAATAAGAATTATGTGACTTTAATGTGTTTTTCTGGGTGTTTTATTACGTTTGAGATGGACAGACAGCCAGTCAGACAGACCGTTAAACATTAACAACAATGTTATATTGTGATAAAAAGAAGTTATATCGTTTGGGGGGTAGCCCCAAAAAGGGTGTTCAATTCCAAAATCATTTCCAAATCTTTATGAGCTGGAAATTGTCTGTACCTTTTCTACGGTCCCCAAATATTCGTTAACGAAAAGTTTATTTCCTTCATACAACAAAAATAACAAAATCATTAATTTTCATTTAAAAATAAGTAGCAAAAGTTTCAAGTTAAATAAGTATGCCTTCCTGCTATCACAACGGAAACCGGATATTCTAAGGCATTTACTAAGAATACAAAATCGTAGTATTTTGTTGGTGTTGCCGCCGTTTTGGGCTGAATTTGGTTCTTCTCTTTCTCTCACTGTAATCATAATCAAGTGATGTAGAACATGGTTTAGGAAAATTGTAAACATCTTAAAACATTAACAGGTCATTGCGTTCCTGCTGCTGTTGTTGGGGTTTTACATAAATGCAGACTTGCCTTTTTGCCTAACGACGGTGATAGTCGTCGCAGTCTGCCTGCTTCAAATGGATAAGTTAAGCTAGTCATTTTAAATGGCCGTGATAATGACTAAAGTGTTGTACACTTGAACAAAATATGTATTATGTGTTTTAATTTCTATGAAAATAGGTATAACTTAAACTAAAATTAGTCAAGAAAGGACAAAAGTCGAACTGGGCCAACTATTTGATAGCCTACTGTACAATGCTTATTTGGCAGAAATGCTCGTAAAAATAGAGTTATATTGGAAATTTTGCGTAGAGTAAACTCTATACACTATGAAATACGCGTTTTAAGTTACCAATTGAAATTTGACTTCTAGAATTAAAATAATATGATTACGTAAGCAAGGAGATCATCAGATATCAGCGTTAAATTTCTGTGTAAGATAAATATATTTGAATCTCCAAGTAAAAAGCTGTAACTCCTCGAGTCAACATATATCAAGACTAATATTTAGTAGAAAAATAAAGAGATTCGTAGAAAAAATGGACATTACTAAATCAAATATTGTGTTTCCTTTGCTTCATAATAACATGTCCATAACACATTTCAATAACTACGGGGAAAATCCAGCATACTATTTTAGGTATGTAAAGTGTTTGCAAATACGAAGAAT